GTCGAGCCCCTACCCCTAAGTAGCTCGACTCCACCCATGGAGTAGTGCTCTCTCTCCTGGCAATCCCCAAATATACCATGTGGGGGGTAATCATGTATGTGCATGTGTACTATGCTATGTGGGGAGCAAGTACGTGGGGTGTCATTCTAACTAACACCAATGGAGCATGCGCAGGAGAGGACGAGGACCGACCGAAATAGACCCCGCAACCTCTCCGTCACTACGGCAGAGCTCTTCAGTTCTAATCAACTGAGCTAGCACGCTAAAGGAACGTCCTGCAGGAGAGTTTGAATGAGCGCTCTCTTATGGGAATGGACTGTCTGTGTCTTTTCTTCTTTTCTTATCTGCCAGGCCCATCCCGCCGCTGGGTCATGGTCATGGAACTCTAGCTCTGCTCTGCTATTGCTGTGTCTAGGGACTCTCACCTTACTTAGCAAGAAACTGCCCAGTGTGATCTCCGCGTAGTGTGATACTTCGTAGTGTGATCCTTTCTAGTGTGATCTCCTCGTAGTTTGATCCTTTCTAGTGTGATCTCCTCGGGGTCTAGGTTTACGATCCTTTCTAGTGTGATCTCCTCGGGGTCTAGGTTTACAATCCTTTCTAGTGTGATCTCGTCCAGTGTGATCCTTTCTAGTGCGAGCTCCTCCTAGTGTGATCCTTTCTAGTCTTATCTCCTCCGGGTCTAGGTCTAGGTTTACGTTGCTTGGGGTCTCCCTCTCTCTTTTTATCATAAAATTCATAATAACTGATCCACATACGACAAGCCCATCCTTCCCTTTTCCCCCCTCAAAAAGGGCGACGGTCTTGAGATGTCATCATTGAATTGACTAATCCCTGGCCCCCATGTGATTCAGAACTGTTTTATTTTGTTCATCTGATTGCATCAGATTCGAACTTGGGTCTGTATTTCAAGTTCCAACGGTTCATAAAGGGGATTTTTTTTGTTTTATCCACTGGTTTTTCATATCGTGCCCAAGTGTGAAAAGGGTTTTTTAACTTTTTACCTTTTTACTAACTTTTTAGTTCATTTACTCAAGGAAAATTATGGGCTGCGCCAGGGAATCAGCTTCGAAAGATTTGATTTACCTAACCAACTTTCTTCTTGGTCTTTGCCACTGTGAAAATTCTTGACTCTATTGAGTTCGTCCACCATCCATCCTTCGACCGATGAATCAGGCCGTAGTAGCACCGGATGTATCGGGCTGCAAATACCTCCTGAGATCGGAGATTGCCCTCAGCCAATGTTCGATTATTCTATAACCCACAATGTTTTTCAGAAGAAAAGCAGATTTCGTATTTAGTATTTACTATTTCACTATTTACCGGTTTAGTGGAACTGACCAGTTGTTAAGATTTTCCCGTTTAGTGGCACTGACGGTTTCTAAGATTTTCCCGTTTTGGACTAAACGGGAAAATCGCAGAAGGGCTATGTTGGCCGGCGATGCTCCCCACCAGTAGATGGAGCAGCCACTCCCCCGGTGGTAGTGGTGCCTCATTTTACCAGCACCACTAGCACTGCAGGGGCCGTTTTCCCTAAGAAGAAGAAGAAGAAGAAGAAGAAGGAAAAAAAAAAAAGAAGGACGGCGAAATTGGCTATATCTCGGACGGCTGGGAAGGGCACAGACATCCGGGATATATATATATATATATATATATATCGTCAAATAGAACTGCCCGGTAAACCATAGGCAGAGAGGGAGAAGAGGACAACAAACGAGGGGCTGTGACAATATATATACTGTCTCTTATACACATCTAGATGTGTATAAGAGACAGATATATATATATATATATGAGTCGGTGAAACTCCGACGAAACAGTTTGTCACAGCCCCTCGTTTGTTGTCCTCTTCTCCCTCTCTGCCTACGGTTTACCGGGCAGTTCTATTTGACGATATATATATATATATATATATATATATATATATATATATATCCGACGAAACAGTTTGTCACAGCCCCTCGTTTGTTGTCCTCTTCTCCCTCTCTGCGTACGGTTTACCGGGCAGTTCTATTTGACGATATATATATATCGTTAAACCACTGCAGTACTTCCTAAAGTTGTGGCCGTTAACAAGCCAATAATTTTAGGAAACGTACCGGCCACTACAGGAGCGCCCAAATTCATCCAAGTGGAAACGTTTCTACTCTTCTTTTTTTTTGCTCGGCGGCTGATAGTTGAACTGACCCAAGTACTGGTGGTTTTAGCTGAACTGACCCGTTGATATGCGGTGGTTGTGCGGACATGTTTGTTTCCGTTTCCGACGTTTTGGTGATCGCAGGCACAGTATGAGGCCCAGGAGCCGGGCAAGGAGGAGTACGTTGCGGTCGCCTACAGAAGAAAGTTTCGTTAAAGATCTTCTTTCTTGGAAAGCGTCCCAAACTCCGTCCATGAATTTATAAATTTTACAAAATTAAAATGTAATGTCACTAATGTGTAATATAATAAAAATATCTGTACATCCAAGTCAGTCAAGAACGTGATTGATTCGTTACAGACTGTACAATATAGTACACTGTTTGTCCGCCGCTTTTTCTGAGTCTGTATTATCTTTCTTTTTATTCTTTTTTTTTTTTTTTTTTTGGGAAGCTATATTCTTCTCTCAAATTTTCACCTCACACTACCTACCTACCACTACGTCTAATTGTAGGCTGTAGGCATACGGGGAACCCCGCAGCAGCCAGAGCCGTGTTCACGAGAGAACATGTGGAGGGGCTGCTCCTGACCTGCAGGTGGTATTATCATTTAGTCTGCCCCTCTCCTTTTTTTTTTCTTTTTTTTTTTTCCTTCTCTTTTTTTCTCCCTTCCTTCTCTTCGTGTTTTTTTTTCTTCTTCTTCTTTCCTTTCTTAAAGTTTTTTTGGGGTTTTCTTTTTTTTTTCCCTCCTTTTTTTAAATAAAACAAAGCTATATTCTTCTCTTAATTTCGCCTTTCACTACCACGACTCCTAAGTCCTAAAATAACTTAAATACGCCTATACAGGCGACCCCTGCAAGCGTAGCTACCCTCTCACAATTAATGGGAATATGCATGCTGCCCCTCACCGTAATCCGTGGTGGTAATGGAGTAGGGTGGGTTGCTGGTGGAGGGGGGGGGGGGG